AATCCTGTTGGAAAGGTCACGTGCGATTAGTTCTCTGTCTTAAAAAACTCTCCTCCAACTTTAAAATCATCAGACATCGTTGTTTTACCTTTTTTGTAAAGGGCATGTGACTTTCTTTGCATCTCAGAGCTAGAGCAAGCTAAGCATTTGTGGTTAAAACATGTATAAATATGATTTTTTTTCAGAAAATGATCCTTTGGCTAGGTAAGATCTTTATTCTTTGGTTGGGATCGTGTAGAGTTCTTTTGAAGCTGCATTGAAACTACATTTCGACCACTGAAGTCCATTATATGTAGAAAAGTCCTGGAATGACATGGGGGTGAGTAAATCGTCAGGAAGTGTGTATTCTGGAAGTGGACTTATCCTTTAATAACAGAGAGCCGTGTTAGTGAGGTTACGTGTAGGAGCTGCGCTTCGAGTCGTGTAAATGAGTGCAGTGTGAAAGAATGACAGATATTCGGCCGCCTCTCATCCGGAGGGAATTTCTGCGCCGCAGTGGGACGACGAGGACAAACCGCCGCTCAGATTCAGATTTCCGAAAGCAAAGCCTAATCACAGCAAAATAAAGTTACATTTACAGTCTGTCCTCCAGATAATGTTCTTTCTCAGTGTCTTTGTCTCGTTTTCCAGGACAAACATCAAGTGTCATAAATCAAGATGTGTTAAATGCAAAATAACATCAGATAGAATTCAAATAGAATTAAGTGAGTTTATGCTTTTTTTGTTGTTGTTGTTGGTATATACACTACCAGTCAAAAGCTTTTAAACAGTAAGATTTGTAATGTTTTTTAAAGAAGTCTCTTCTGTTCACCAAGCCTGCATTTATTTGATCAGAAATACAGCAAAAACAGTAATATTGTGAAATATTTTTACTATTTAAAATAACTGCTTTGTATTTGAATACATTTTAAATGTATTTCTGTGATGAATTTTCAGCATCATTACTCCGGTCTTCAGTGTCACATGATCTTCAGAAATCATTCTAATATGCTGATCTGCTGCTCGAGAAACCTGAAATCTTTTTAAATTATTATTATTATTATTAATGTTTTTTGAGCAGCAAATCAGAATATCAGAATGATTTCTGAAGGATCGTGTGACTGGAGTAATGATGCTAAAAAAAATTGCTTTGAAATCAAAATAAATTACATTTAAAAATATATTCAAATAGAAAACAGTTATTTGAAATAGCCTATTAAAATATTTCAAAATGTTACTGTTTTGCTGTACTTTGCATCAAATAAATGCAGGCTTGGTGAACAGAAGAGACTTCTTTAAAAAACATGAACAATCTTACTGATCGAAAACTTTTGACTGGTAGTGTATAAGCAACTTGCATGTTTCCAAACGTTTCTGTTTTTCTGAAAACAACTGTTTTCATATAGCGATAGCTGGACGCTTTTGTCCATATTAGGGATTTCCTCGTACGGCTTTCTGTGTGAGAGCGCTCTCCGGCTTCGAGTGTGAATGAAACATACACTGCTTTAGCACTGTGTTTAGCGCTCCGCGATGTTCATCTCGCCTTATTCTGGGTCCTAATAAAATACCAGATCATGCACAGACTATCCTGTCTCTTTGAATTTAAATCTATATTTATTCACACCGGCTCTTGAAAACCTCTATGCGAACACACTTGTCCGAAAAAGTGCGGGGGATGAATTTAAGTGATATAAAATTAGGGGGGACACGTCCCCCGCGTAATCTACGCCCCTGACCCCTGTAATGTGTTTGTCTCATGCTCCGGCCGCACAGGGCAGCACAGTATGGTGAGGGGCGTAACATATTGTGTGTAGCATTGTCTTATGCACCTGCTAACTTTAACTATTTTTAGTCTAGTAGTAAACTTAAATCCTTGTAGGACCTGCAGGTCCTAGCCATAGAAACCATAATAATGATTTATATGGCTAAGTAATGAGCGTATGCATCTTTACACATTTACAGTTACTTACTATATTATTATTTACTATTACTCCACTAGGTGTGAAAATCTCGCCTTATTCTGGGTCCGAATAAAACATCAGATCATGCACAGACTATCCTGTCTCTTTGAATTTAAATCTATATTTATTCACACCGGCTCTTGAAAACCTCTATGCGAACACACTTGTCCGAAAAAGTGCGGGGGATGAATTTAAGTGATATAAAATTAGGGGGGACACGTCCCCCGCGTAATCTACGCCCCTGACCCCTGTAATGTGTTTGTCTCATGCTCCGGCCGGACAGGGCAGCACAGTATGGTGAGGGGCGTAACATATTGTGTGTAGCATTGTCTTATGCACCTGCTAACTTTAACTATTTTTAGTCTAGTAGTAAACTTAAATCCTTGTAGGACCTGCAGGTCCTAGCCATAGAAACCATAATAATGATTTATATGGCTAAGTAATGAGCGTATGCATCTTTACACATTTACAGTTACTTACTATATTATTATTTACTATTACTCCACTAGGTGTGAAATATTGTACGTTTTAATCCCCTGGAATACACTACAAACATGATGATCTAGATTAGAACATGATGCATTGCTGGGTCTCTGTCATAATTAAATAATTAAACAATTTTGGAGAAAGTGGCTGTACGTGTGTGTGTGTGTGTGTATTTTGTTTACAGTCTTCCTTTAACAGACATTAATATTAAGACAATACTGCAAAAACAGTTTACTGTCAAGCTGTTATATTCCTGTTATATATATTGTCCAACATTCCTAATTTTTCTGTCATTAATTTAATTTCATATGTTGGTATTAATTCAGTGTTAATAATGCTAACACTTGAAGTTGGGGAAGTTGCCAAGCTTTACTTCTTACATGAAAAGAGAAAAGAGTTTTAGTGGCTATTCTGTTTTGCAAGCGAGCCAAAATGAACCAAAGGAACACGGATCAAACCACGCACTTTAATAACGCAGGCATTTGATATGATATCGAAGCAAAAAAACTGACCTTTCAGTGACATTTGGGAAAGTTTTTGAGTCTCTGAAATGGCGTCTTTTCACCCATGAAGTTGTAACTTTTGCTTTCGGTCTTGAAGGAGATCGTACCTGTTCCTACCTGCAGGGCGCGCGCCACTTGTGATGCCTCAACCACTACTGATCTGAAATCCAATAATTCCTAGATATTGTCATAATTTTCACATGAAGTCAGCAGTGCATCAGGAAAGCTTGGAATATAGGAAAAACTTACATTCAGGGGATGAAAATATTGCCATCACATTGATTTTGTCAGGAGAAAAACTGATCTGAACACAGATGTGGAAGTTGTGGCATTTACTTAACTCTGACCCCCATATAAATTATATTAATAATTAAAAACCTTATGAACTTGCGTGATTTCTTTAGATAAAATACTTGTATGTATATAATAATATAATCATGTATGGGTAACAAGAGAAATTATAGCTACAATTAGCTTCAAGCTACACATGATAATCAAAACTTTGACTTAAAAGCCACTATCAATCATCATTGAGTGTTTGGTCAAATGATGAGGCAGAAATATATTGTTAGTAACATTTTAGAAGAATTTTATGGAGAAGATACACAATTACAACTTATTATTATAGGGCGTGAAGGAAAAGTAATGTAACTAGTAGTGTAACTAATTACTGTTGCTGGGAAAGTAATATTACTTTTGAAACGAGTAACTAGTAATAAATTACAATTTTGGAGTGTCTTATGCACCTGCTAACTTTAACTATTTTTAGTCTAGTAGTAAACTTAAATCCTTGTAGGACCTGCAGGTCCTAGCCATAGAAACCATAATAATGATTTATATGGCTAAGTAATGAGCGTATGCATCTTTACACATTTACAGTTACTTACTATATTATTATTTACTATTACTCCACTAGGTGTGAAATATTGTACGTTTTAATCCCCTGGAATACACTACAAACATGATGATCTAGATTAGAACATGATGCATTGCTGGGTCTCTGTCATAATTAAATAATTAAACAATTTTGGAGAAAGTGGCTGTACGTGTGTGTGTGTGTGTGTATTTTGTTTACAGTCTTCCTTTAACAGACATTAATATTAAGACAATACTGCAAAAACAGTTTACTGTCAAGCTGTTATATTCCTGTTATATATATTGTCCAACATTCCTAATTTTTCTGTCATTAATTTAATTTCATATGTTGGTATTAATTCAGTGTTAATAATGCTAACACTTGAAGTTGGGGAAGTTGCCAAGCTTTACTTCTTACATGAAAAGAGAAAAGAGTTTTAGTGGCTATTCTGTTTTGCAAGCGAGCCAAAATGAACCAAAGGAACACGGATCAAACCACGCACTTTAATAACGCAGGCATTTGATATGATATCGAAGCAAAAAAACTGACCTTTCAGTGACATTTGGGAAAGTTTTTGAGTCTCTGAAATGGCGTCTTTTCACCCATGAAGTTGTAACTTTTGCTTTCGGTCTTGAAGGAGATCGTACCTGTTCCTACCTGCAGGGCGCGCGCCACTTGTGATGCCTCAACCACTACTGATCTGAAATCCAATAATTCCTAGATATTGTCATAATTTTCACATGAAGTCAGCAGTGCATCAGGAAAGCTTGGAATATAGGAAAAACTTACATTCAGGGGATGAAAATATTGCCATCACATTGATTTTGTCAGGAGAAAAACTGATCTGAACACAGATGTGGAAGTTGTGGCATTTACTTAACTCTGACCCCCATATAAATTATATTAATAATTAAAAACCTTATGAACTTGCGTGATTTCTTTAGATAAAATACTTGTATGTATATAATAATATAATAATATAATCATGAATGGGTAACAAGAGAAATTATAGCTACAATTAGCTTCAAGCTACACATGATAATCAAAACTTTGACTTAAAAGCCACTATCAATCATCATTGAGTGTTTGGTCAAATGATGAGGCAGAAATATATTGTTAGTAACATTTTAGAAGAATTTTATGGAGAAGATACACAATTACAACTTATTATTATAGGGCGTGAAGGAAAAGTAATGTAACTAGTAGTGTAACTAATTACTCTTCTTCCTGTCCGTCTGCTTCTTCCTGTCCGTCTGCTTCTTCCTGTCCGTCTGCTTCTTCCTGTCCGTCTGCTTCTTCCTGTCCGTCTGCTTCTTCCTGTCTCTCTTCTTCCTGTCTCTCCTCTTCCTGTCCGTCTGTGTCTCGACTGTCTCCTTCCCATCCGTCTCTCTCTCTCAGGACAGTGAGCAGCACTTTGAGCAGTGAGTTCTCCTCCAGCAGTTCTTCAGACGCGTCTGCGAGCTCCTGCAGTCTGTGAACAGTGTCGCTCAGCTGGCGTGTTTTCTCTCTGTACAGCGTCTCCAGCCGCCCGCTCTGCTCCTGCAGCTCGGCATTCTGGGTCTCCAGCGTGTGCGTGTGCAGCGTGAGCCGCCGGTTCTCCCTCCACAGGACCGAAAGCTGCTGAGAGAGACGCTCTCTGGCCCGATGCAGAGAAAACACCTGCCGCTGCAATGACTGAAGCTCCGCCTCCAGCAGGGACTGAGGCTCCGCCCCTCTACCGGACTCCTCCCAGGGGGCGTGGTCAGAGTGCTGCAGAACGAACCGCAGCAGGTTGGGAACCGTCATGGGTGTGTTTTCTGGAAACTTCACACTCATCTGCTTCCTGTTGGAGACAGTGATGATTCAGAATAGACAAGACACAGGTTTGACCAGCATGAGAGTGAATGATGCGTTTGTGACCTGTGTCTGGGGAAGAACAGCACAGACGGCAGATGATCCACCATAAACTCCCAGGGCAGATCATTACGGCCAACATTCACTCTGAAACAGCAAGAACACACACACTGACTCACAGTCACTCCTGAATGCACTGTCAGGTGAAGCGTAATGTGCAGTTCCACACCTGGCCACCGTGAGGGCGCTGTTTCCCTGGAACAGACGAGCCAGCTGCAGAAACACGTGATTGAGAACCGAGCAGAAGCCACACCAGACCGAATAATACAGCAGCAACACGTCCTGATGAGAGACGGAGAACATCACTGCTATCGTCTGCTGGTCTGGACGCTAATATAGTTATTGATCTTGCTGTGAACGGGCATTTATTCTAAATAATATATTGACTTTGCTGTATTAGGCTGATTGTGTGCTTATATCACTCATACTCTCTTTACATTAGATAATAGCTTTAATAAAGAGCAGCTGCTCTCACCCTCTGTGAGTCCATGACGGTGTGCAGGAAGCTGTCTGAGGTCACTTCCTGTATGAGGGACTGTGTTTGCTGCTGTTGTTTGTGTCCCACCAGATGTCTGTGTAAAGGACTGTAGGTCGCGCTGAAGTTCTGGATGAAATCCTCTGCTCCACACAGAGAGAGAACAATTAATACTGCTGCAGAAACGTGTGCAAGTGTGAACAAGTGAGAGCGAGTGTGTGAATGAGAGCTAGTGAGTGAGCGTGAATGTGAGAGCTTGTGTGAGTGAGTGTAAGAGTGTTAGTGTGAGCAAGTATGTGAGTGAGTGTAAGCATGTGAGCAAGTATGTGAATGTAAGCATGCGAGCAAGTATGTGAATGTAAGCATGCAAGCGTGAGTGTGAGCGAGTATGTGAATGTAAGCGTGTGAGCGTGAGTGAGTCTGAGCGAGTATGTGAATGTAAGCATGCGAGCGTGAGTGTGAGCGAGTATGTGAGTGAGTGTAAGCTTGGGAGCGTGAGTGAGTTAGAGCAAGTATGTGAGTGAGTGTAAGCATGTGAGCAAGTATGTGAATGTAAGCATGCGAGCATGAGTGTGAGCGAGTATGTGAGTGAGTGTAAGCTTGGGAGTGTGAGTGAGTGTGAGCAAGTATGTGAGTGAGTGTAAGAGTGTTAGCGTGATTGAGAGCAAGTATGTGAGTGAGTGTAAGCATGTGAGCAAGTATGTGAATGTAAGCATGTGAGCGTGAGTGTGAGCGAGTATGTGAGTGAGTGTAAGAGTGTTAGCGTGAGTGAGAGCAAGTATGTGAGTGAGTGTAAGCGTGAGTGTGAGCAAGTATGTGAGTGAGTGTGAGCGTGAGTGAGTGTGAGCGAGTATGTGAGTGAGTGTGAGCGTGTGTGTGAGCATGTGAGTGAGTGTGAGCGAGTATGTGGGTGAGTGTGAGCGTGTGAGTGAGTATGTGGGTGAGTGTGAGCGTGTGTGAGTATGTGAGTGAGTGCGAGCGTGTGTGTGAGTATGTGAGTGAGCGTGTGAGTGAGTGTGAGCGTGTGAGTGAGTATGTGAGTGAGTGTGAGCGTATGCGTGTGAGCGCATGCGTGTGAGCGCGAGTGAGTGTAAGCATGTGAGTGCGAGTGAGTGAGCGTGAGTGAGTGTGAGAGAGTATGTGAGTGAATATAAGTGTGAGTGAGTGTAAACGTGTGAGAGTGTGAGCGTGTGAGCGTGTGCGTGTGAGTGAGTGTATGCGTGAGTGAGTGTAAACAAATATGTGAGTGAGTGTAAGCTTGTGAGCGTGAGTGAGTGTAAGCTTGTGAGCGTGAGTGAGTGTGAGCGAGTATGTGTGTAAGCGTGTGAGTGTGAGCGTGAGTGAGTGTGAGCGTGAGTAAGCGTAAGCGAGTGTGAGCGTGAGTGAGCGTAAGCGTGTGAGTGAGCGTAAGCGTGTGAGTGAGCGTAAGCGTGTGAGTGAGCGTAAGCGTGTGAGTGAGCGTAAGCGTGTGAGTGAGCGTAAGCGTGTGAGTGAGCGTAAGCGTGTGAGTGAGCGTAAGCGTGTGAGTGAGCGTAAGCGTGTTAGTGAGCGTGAGTGAGTGTAAGCGTGTGAGCAAGCGAGTGTAAGCGTGAGCGAGTGTAAGCGTGTGAGCGAGTGTAAGCATGTGAGAGTAAGCGTGTGAGTGAGTGTAAGAGTGAGTGTAAGCTTGTGAGCGTGAGTGAGTGTGAGCGAGTATGTGTGTAAGCGTGTGAGTGTGAGCGTGAGTGAGTGTGAGCGTGAGTAAGCGTAAGCGAGTGTGAGCGTGAGTGAGCGTAAGCGTGTGAGTGAGCGCAAGCGTGTGAGTGAGCGTAAGCGTGTGAGTGAGCGTAAGCGTGTTAGTGAGCGTGAGTGAGTGTAAGCGTGTGAGCGTGAGTGAGTGTGAGCGAGTATGTGTGTAAGCGTGTGAGTGTGAGCGTGAGTGAGTGTGAGCGTGAGTAAGCGTAAGCGAGTGTGAGCGTGAGTGAGCGTAAGCGTGTGAGCGTGAGTGAGTGTGAGCGTGAGTAAGCGTAAGCGAGTGTGAGCGTGAGTGAGCGTAAGCGTGTGAGTGAGCGTAAGCGTGAGTGAGCGTAAGCGTGTGAGTGAGCGTAAGCGTGTTAGTGAGCGTAAGCGTGTGAGCGTGAGTGAGTGTAAGCGTGTGAGCAAGCGAGTGTAAGCGTGAGCGAGTGTAAGCGTGTGAGCGAGTGTAAGCATGTGAGAGTAAGCGTGTGAGTGAGTGTAAGCGTGAGTGTAAGCTTGTGAGCGTGAGTGTAAACAAGTATGTGAGTGAGTGTATGCGTGTGAGCGAGTGTGAGCGTGAGTGAGCGTGTGTAGGTTTGTGTTAGCGTTTGTTTTGCTGAGTGTGTGTGAGAAAGTCTGAGCATGAGTGTGTGAGCGAGTGCGAGCGTGTGAGTAATTTTGAGCATGTATGAGTGAGTTTGAGTATGTGAGGGAGTGTGAGCATGTGTGAGTGAGTGTGAGCACGTGAGTGTGAGCATGTGTGAGTGCGTGTCAGTGAGTATGAGCATGCGAGTGAGTGTGTGAGTGTGAGCATGTGTAAGTGAGTGTGAGCACATGAGTGAGTGAGCAGGAGTGTGTGAGTGAGTGAGCATGTGAGTGTGAGTGCATGTCAGTGAGTATGAGTATGTGAGTGTGTGTGAGTGAGTGTGAGCGTGTAAATGAGTATGAGCATGTGTAACTGAGCGAGCACGAGTGTGAGCATGTTAGTGAGTGTGAGCAAGAGGATGTGTGAGTGTGAGCATGTGAGTGAGAGCACGTGAGTGAGAGCACAATAGTTAAAGCATGTGTAAATGAGTATGAGCGTGTGTGTGTGTGAGTGAGTGTGAGCATGTGAGCGAGTATGTGAGTGTAAGTGTGTGAGCGTGAGTGAGTGTAAGCGCGTGAGTGAGTATGAGCGTGTGTGTGAGTGAGTGAGTGCAAGCGTGTGAGTGTGAGTGAGTATGTGAGTGTAAGTGTGTGAGCGAGTGTAAGCGTGTGTGAGTGAGTATGAGCGTGTGTGTGTGTGTGAGTGAGTGAGTGCAAGCGTGTGAGTGTGAGTGAGTATGTGAGTGTAAGTGTGTGAGCGAGTGTAAGCGTGTGTGAGTGAGTATGAGCGTGTGTGTGTGTGTGAGTGAGTGAGTGCAAGCGTGTGAGTGTGAGTGAGTATGTGAGTGTAAGTGTGTGAGCGAGTGTAAGCGTGTGTGAGTGAGTATGAGCGTGTGTGTGTGTGTGAGTGAGTGAGTGCAAGCGTGTGAGTGTGAGTGAGTATGTGAGTGTAAGTGTGTGAGCGAGTGTAAGCGTGTGTGAGTGAGTATGAGCGTGTGTGTGTGTGTGAGTGAGTGAGTGCAAGCGTGTGAGTGTGAGTGAGTATGTGAGTGTAAGTGTGTGAGCGAGTGTAAGCGTGTGTGAGTGAGTATGAGCGTGTGTGTGTGTGTGAGTGAGTGAGTGCAAGCGTGTGAGTGTGAGTGAGTATGTGAGTGTAAGTGTGTGAGCGAGTGTAAGCGTGTGTGAGTGAGTATGAGCGTGTGTGTGTGTGTGAGTGAGTGAGTGCAAGCGTGTGAGTGAGTGTGAGCGAGTATGTGAGTGTAAGTGTGTGAGCGTGAGTCAGTGTAAGCGCGTGTGAGTGAGTGTGAGCGTGTTTCAATGTGTGCATAAGTGAGTGAGTGTTAGTAAGTGTGTTTGTATTACTGAGTATTTGTAAGTGTGTGTAGGTTTGTGTTAGTGTTTGTGCTGCTGAGCAGGTGTGTTTGTGTGAGTAAGTTTGAGTGCGTTTGTGTTACAGAGTGTGTATTTGTTAGTGTGTATTTGTTAGTGAGTGTGTGTGTACTGTACCCAGTGCGTTGGTGCGGTTGAGCATGTAGTGTGTCTCATCTCTGAGGTTGATGATGGTGGGTGTGTGTGTGTGTGTGTGTGTGTGTGTGTGTAGTGTGTGTGTGGTGCGTGTACTGTACCCAGCATACAGTACCCGGTACGGTTGAGCATTTAGTACGTCTCATCTCTGAGGTCGATGGTGTGTGTGTGTGTGTGTGTGTGTGGTGTGTGTACTGTACCCAGTGCATCGGTGTGGTTGAGCACGTAGTGTGTCTCGTCTCTGAGGTTGATGATGGTGATGAAGGGCAGGTCTCTGCTCTGGTCTGGAGATGCTCCGAGTCTCTGCGCCAGCGGCCAGTGCAGCTGAGTGTCCAGCAGGTAGAAGCGCAGCGTCTTGTTGGAGCGGCACTGCAGGCCCGTGATGGAGTCCAGCGGAGGCCTTGGGACGCTCCTGCAGCAGACGCTCCACCGGCCGAACGCACCGTAAGAGCTCTGTATGCTCCTGCAGGAGGAGAGACTGACCCGCTGCAGATACAGAGCCAGAGCCCAGCAGCGAGAGACACACAGCTCACACACGCTTGCATCTGACGAGAACGACAGAGACTGACAGCAGCGCGGGAACCAATCCTCCTCTGAGCCGCAGTGATACTGCAGCGCCACAGCGCTCACCTGACACACACACACAAGATCATGTGATCTACACAACACTGCTGAGTAACAACACTTCATTGTCACATGTCTGTCAGAACAAGGACATAAAAACTAAGCATGCATATTACACTCTAAATCGACATATTTATATACAGTACTTACATGACATACTTAAAAAAAAACTGATTCCTACTTAAAACATTGTATGATATTGTAATACTACGTCACATTAAAATATTTTTAAGACACTATAAAATAGTTTAAACTGCTGGTGGTACCCGTGTCAGCAGCTGATTGGCTGTGAGGGGATTGTGCGGGAGGAAGGTCAGGAGGGCGGGGCCTTTCTGTAGCTCCGCCTCCAGTGAGTAACTCTTCACTCCCGTTGGCTGAATCCAGTGAATGACGCTCTCTCTGTTCTCAAACACCCAATCACAGACGGCTTGTACAGTGAAGTTCCTCTGCGTCCGCGGGAAAACCTGCGCTCAGAAACACAGAACCACAGTAATATTTCACTGTATGAGCATAGAATGAGAGTGTGTGTTATTATGATCTCACCAGAGAGCTGTTCAAACGCCGGTGTAGATACACACTTTCATCCTCCCTGAGTGACACGCCCTCTGCCACCGCCTGATTGGTCACCACGGCGAAGCGCACCTCCCCCTGCTGATCTGCACCAATCAGAAGGCAGCGTGTGAGAGCTGAGAGGGTCAGTGTTAGTGAAGTGTGAGGGAGGGTCAGTACCTCGTCTGAGCGCGTGCAGAGCGGACAACAGGAAGGTGATGTAACCCGCCGGCTGAGGAGACGAGCTGAACCGGAAATAACCCACCACAGCCTGCTGGAGCGCACACACACACACACACACACACACACGCACACACATGCACACAATAATAACACTGCAGGAATTTCATGGTGATATCAATGTGACAGAAGGACATAAGTAAATACAATAATATCAAAAATATTAAAATACTATTATTTATTTTTTAACAAGTATTGACATTATTTGCTGTTATTATTACTGTGTGTGTGTACCTGGTGCTGTGTGAGGAAGGTGTGCAGGGCTCTAACGGAGGGCAGGTACGTGAGCGGAGCACAAACTCTCTGAATGAAGCTCTCCAGATACTCAGACCGGACCGGACCCCTGTACTCGATCGGACCGACCCTGCACACACACACACACACACACACACACACACACACACACAGGGTTATTATTATGAGTGATCATGAACACATGGTTCGCTCTCTGTAAGCGTGTGTGTACCTCCTGTAGAACAGATGAATGACGGGATACTGGAAGAAAATCTTCTGCTTCCTGCATCTGCCCTGATGCCACCAGCAGTTCACCGCCACAAACTGCACCTGCACACAGGAAGCGCATCATCACAGACAGGAAGCAGCAGGCTGGTTGTTACTGGATGTGGTCTGAAGGGCGTCACCTGCTGAGCGAGCCGCAGCGCCACCTGCTGGACGTGCTGTCGTGCAGTGATGCAGTGAGCGCACCAGGGGGCGTAGTAGAACACCAGCGACACATCCGCTTCCTCCAGCAGACGATCCACTTCCTCTAGCTGACCCAGGAACAGATCCGCCAGCGGGGCCTCGGCCGGGAAGAAGCGCAGCGGAGCCCGAGGGGACGCCACCACGCTCTTCACACGACTGACAGCAGTGTGTTATTATTCAGGATGTATATTAACAACACCACATCAAAAAATGTGTCAAATGTAAATAAAAACAGAATGCAGTGATTCACAATAGAAGATAAAATACTAATAAAAAAAAGAGAGAGAGATTTTAAATTTGATGGCCGCAATGCTATTGTAAAATATTTTTAAAAGTGTGATTTATTCATGTGATCTAATATGTTGATTTGGTGCTCAAATATTATCTCTATATGTATTGCACAATATAATATTGCAGATGAGTGTTAGATATTATTCTGTGTTACATTTTACTGTATTTACTGCAGGTGAGCAGTATATGATATTATAGATATATTTCACAGCAGTATAAGCTATTATAGATATATTTCACAGCAGTATAAGCTATTATAGATATATTTCACAGCAGTATATGATATTATAGTGATATTTCACAGCAGTATAAGCTATTATAGTGATATTTCACAGCAGTATATGATATTATAGTGATATTTCTCAGCAGTATAAGCTATTATAGATATAT